AATATAAAGTAAAATTAATTAATACGAAAATCTCAATAAAAATATAATACATTATTTTTTTGGGTCCAAAAACACTCTAAAGTGGAATTTTTGTGAAATAGAGAATATTAAATTAATTGAGAAAATGCTCCAAAATAACTGAGTATGAGCAAATAATGTGAAATGTGTAATCCATTGAGAGAATATTAGGAAAATGACTCATACTTTACGGTTTTTTAAATATCAGTGCTTCCCTTCTAACTACTTTTATTTGTAGCCTAATGGCATATTGATTGGTCTTACAATTGAATGTAGACTATTAGCAGACTAATGACAGACTAAATACAAATTACTGATAGACTAACGACAAATTAAAAGCACACTAGCAAAACACTCTTATGAATTATATTAGGAAAAGTTATGTTTTATAATAAAATTATCAAATGAATCATTTCAGAAATTATCTCTATTAAATTATACTTGAATCTGTTTATTTGTTTTTTGCATCTTAGTAACATTTACAAATTGTTCTATTACACAATTGCAACCTAGCTTTGAATTGTATTGTTTCGTCAACTTTCACATAGTAGAAAAAGAAACAATGGTGTAGGACATTAGATTTTATATGAAGGCATATTTTCAATATTTTATTTTATTTTATATGATATGAATTTGATTTTTCCTTAATATATTAAAAACTAAAAATTCAACTATATTTCTTTTAAAACTTTCTTCTTGGTATTTGTTATATTTTTTGAAGTAATGTTTGTTAAGAATTTATTTATAGAAATTTTTTTTAAAGATTTTGTAATTTAATTATTATAAAATATTTAAATATTTAGAGTATAAAAGACTCTAAACACGGCTCTGATCATCGTGTACCTTTTTGAGTATACGTTTTGTATTTTTTGGAACAACATTTTCATACATGACCCAATGAACTTTAGTGGAATATATCTGGGAAAAAGGCCAATTTCAACCCAAACTAATCATATATATGCTTTTATGAATAAACTAAAAAACTTTATGTTCAAATACTAGTATTATTAATGCTCAACGCAGTTTCCTATTTTTTTGCGGAAATATAACTTATGTTCAAGGATCCAATTAACGGGAGAAATAAAACAAGGATTTTTGAGGCCCTTGTAAGCAAGATAATCCTAGCTCTCTAATCAGTTGTAGTATAGAGATCATGTGTCAAACACACTTGCGGATGTGAAATGCAAACAATGCTATAAGCTAAGCAATATGGGGTTTGGATAATGCAGAAGTATCTCTAACAACCTAGCAATGCAACGAAGAGAAAAACGGAACTGAAATGCAAGTAAACAAAGACCAAGCAAGATGAATCTGAAGAAAGAACTAAGCAGAAATGAAACTAAGCAAGATGTATACTGAAATTAAGCAAGCAAAAGAAACTAAGCAAAATGAGTTTAAGACAAATAAAGGAAAACAAGACTCAAGGTTCTAAGCAATAGAGGTAAAGTGGTTTTCAAGAGTGACTAAGAGGATTTCTAGCAAAGGCAATCATCAATAATCAAACAAGCTAGCAATTCTCAATCTTGTAATCCTAAACAAGGTATCTAATGAATAATCTTGCTAATGGTTTAAATGCAAATCCAATTCAACAAGACTAGAGTGTCAAACCCACTTTTGATGGTGTATTCTCTAATCATAAGCATAAAGAACAGAACCATAGAGCCTAAAGATGAACTAGTCAAGTAAATATCTCTCACTAAGCAAGAATTCAGGTCATCCCATCTATCTTTTGAACCATATAGGGACCTAAGCAGCTAATCACCAATCAAGAACATAGAAGTAAGCTCACAGTTGTGAATCCTAGCAATGTCTAGAAATAAACAGGACTTGAAGCAAAAGCATGTTTTTATAATGCATACTATCTAACCATCAAGCAAGAATCTTAAAGCATGCACTATCTAGCCCTAAGCGAATCATCTAGCAAGGTGAACTATCACTTTGGTGTCACTGAACAAAGGAAACATAGATCAAGCTAAGACTATCAAGCAAAATAGGCGAATCATGCAAAGACCAAGACTTCAAACCATCAAGTGAACCATATGCATCAACAATACCATATTCAATCAAAAGGGAGAAGCTTTATGAACAATAATTACTTTGCAAGAGAAGGAAACAACAGAGAACAACTAATCAAGCCTAATCATCCCCTAATCACATTTTAATCAACACTTTCCATACTTAGAACCTTGAATCTAAGGTGAACTATTCACTAACCATGTTTAATCCCATTTGATTAGAGTTAAACATGATTAGATGAGATTAAATGCAAAATAATGAAAACTAAACTACCAGGGTGCTAAATGAAAGATCGGAAGATAAGTAAACCATAAAAATGCAAACTTGATTGAAGAAAATAAAAGTGTTTACATGATGGGGCAAATCGCCATTTTGGCTAAGCAAGAGATAAGATAAGGTTTTGGAATTAAGATGATATATTGATAAAGTTTGGTGGCTTCCTTTTAATAGTTGGAAGCCAAAAAGGAAGGAAAACCATAAAAATATGATAAAGTTAATGATAAAATCCAGTTAAACATGCGGATAAGTTGTATCAGAGTGATACGGACGGTGTTCTGCTCGATGTACCACCCCAATATAGTCAGTGTAGCGCATATTGTCTTGTGCAGTCGTCCCCTGCTCGATGCAGCACCTTGATGTGGATTGTGCCTTAGGATCCACGAGCTAGTCTTCTTCCTCACGTACAACGACTTGTATCGGGCACACTCCTCATAGGTTTCGCTGCACCATCTCGATATGAGACCAGACTTGGAAAATCTCCTTCTTTGACATCTCTTTGAACATGAGCTGCTTCCATCTCCTCCCCAAACTCCAAGAACCTCCAAAAACACCAGAGAAACACCACAAACATGCAAATGTATACATATGTATGCAATCCTAAAGCTAAATGCATGCAATATTGATTCTAAGTGCAAAGAGACTAAAATGCTAAACTAACATGCAAAAACAAGGGAAAAGATGCATGAAATACAGTCTAAAATGCTCTAATATAGCAAGCTATCAAGAAGCTTCATCAAAGAGTCTACCTAAAAACATCAAACTACCCACATACTATTATAATCCATCAGACACTTCAGAAATAAACATAGAATTATGGTATTGAATCACGTGACACATAAACAACGACGTTTGCAATGATGAAAAACCAGAATTTTATCATATTAGTCAAAAACATGCAGAATATTTGAAACACAAAAATATTACAAACGTAGAAATCTTACAAACACTTAGCTTTAAACATGAGAATCTTATAACTACCATAAATCAATCAAATGTCGTTGCTTACGTGTCACGTGACTCAGCCAAAGTTCATGTTTGACTAAAGCTGTTATGGTCAATATGGTTTTTGGCACGAAATAAATAGTTCGAGTAGGTAATTTAAATTTTATATGGGGTTCAGGTAGAAAAACGCATTGTGTATAAGTTTAGGTAGAAAAGACTACGACAGGTTTAGTTTGGATTGAAATTGGCTATTCTTCAGCAATAATTCCTTGACATGATGACATCTCCATCCATCTGAGTAAGCAAGCATTAGCGGTCAACTAACATGATTATGATCAATATGGATTTTGGCACGAAACAGATAGTTGGGATACGTAATTTGAATTTTATATAGAATTCGGATAACACAACCCACTATATACAAATTTAGGTAGAAAAGAGTATGATAGATCTAAATATATTCAATTAATAGACAACGATATAAAAGTAAAAAAAAAAATATTTTAGTTGAAATTAGATATGTTCGAAAACGTAAAGAAACCCAAGAAAGTTCTTCAACTAAATCCATAAATTGTATTGTCGAGAGTGTTGATGATCTTCGCAATAAAAAAAAAAAAAAAAATCTCCATAAAAGGGAATTTGTGTTTCTATACTTCTTCTTTTGTTATCGCATGGCAATGAAACCTCTTCCCAACATTCGCATTAAGTGAAAGTAGTTTTTAGTTGATCATTCATCTTTGGATTAGTCCAATTCAAACTCTAGTAGATGTGTGGTTCTTTTAGAATATACTCTTTCTGTTTTAAATTATAAGTTGTTTTAGGTAGATGCACAAATATTAAGAAAAGTGTTTTTATTTAATACTCCTTCTGTGTTTTTAAAAAATTAATGTTTTAGATTTTGTTTTTATTTTTGAAAGATTGATGTTTTACAATTTAATCAATACATTTAGTTTTACAAGATGAATTAAAAACAAACTATTAGTTTACTTGTATTGAAAACTAAAAAAATAAGTAAAAGTAAAAATATAAATAACTATTAAAATAAGTAATTATTACATCTTAATTTATGTGAAAAATGTTAAACATCAATCTTTAAAAAATGGAGAGAGCAAATATTGTTAGATATATTAGTTAAATATAAGTAAAACAATTATGAAAAACTATAATTGATCACACACCATCCAATACATAGGTGTATAAAAATATAAAACAATTTGAAACAAACTAAAACATCTAAAACAACTTATATTAGTATTTTTATAAAAATATAATTTTTCTCTATATGAGAAATCGTAGATTTACTGCTAACTTTTTTTTTTGGAAATTACTAGATTGATTCATGTTTATCAATCATTTATTATTGTTGATATTTTTACACTTTCGATATTGAATTTCCTAACATCAATTGTTTCCCTTGTTTAAACTCTTTTAGTGTACGGTGCACCACTATATCTCTCTGGTTTAAAATTTGGTATACATGTACAATGAGAACTCTCTAGCCTAGTATGATGGGGCAAATTTACTTTTTAGTATCCAAATTGTCTATTAATATGCCATTCATAATATTCATCGAATGAATGAAATAGCCAACATACATTTGATTTTTTTTTCTTTTATTCATATGTATCAAACGTTATAAGAATTAAAAATATCACATTTCCATCAATTCAATTCCTCATCACCACATCTACAGAATTATACCCAAAAATAATAATCAATCGAACACAGAAAGAACAAAAGAGAGATCAAGAGGAAGCACGTGACAAGGACCCAACTCTTGCAATTTCATGAACCGCAGGGTTAAACCCTAAACAGCCTAACCAGCCTTGCTTGTACGGCAAGAATGTTTTCCTCTTAAGCTCCTCCGACACGGCTCTGTTCTCAGTGTAATGCATCTCGTGAGCCGAAACCACCGCTCCGTGCCTCCTCCTTGACCGAGACACCGACGAATCGCAACTTTCTCTAGACCGGATACTCGAATTTTTCGCTTCCTCGGCCTCTTGCTTTGTTAGTATATCATATCTTTTCAAGGACTCTTTCGTCGGAACCGGTCTTCCATCCGATGCACTCCTGAACAGTAACAGATCTTTGAGTTTCCACTTCTTATATGCTCGACCAGGGAACAGAATCGCTGACAAGAAAGCAGAGGATTTTTGGTTGCTTGTGTTGGAAGCAACCATTTTTGTTGACTCATGTACTTCTTCTTCATCAACCATAATATCTGAAACCCTCAACGGAGACATAGAACGGCTTCCTTTACGATCATAACGGGAAGAAAATCCCAGAGACCGGTCTCTTCCTCGATCAGAATCATCTTTCTCAAGAACCCTAGATCTGGGAGGAGACACGATAGGAGGAGTGAAGGAGAGGCTTAAAGGTCTAATCTTTCCTCCATCAAAGAGCTCGTCGGCGGCAGAGAAAGAAGATTTATCCAATTGACCACTGAAATTGAACTCGAAATCGTCGTCCAAATCGCTGGCTGATCTCTTCTTGGGAGTTCTTGGTTGGTCTTCCCAATCAATAGGTATGTTGGAGGAAGTTGAAGGAGAAGGGCTTGTAGGTGCACTGAAGAAGAAGAAAGCATTGTTGTTGCCAAATCGAGTTGGGCTTGAAGGAGCTGTTATGTACGGAGACGAAGTTGTGCTGTCGAAATTGAGTTCTGTTGCTGGCTCTGCTGCTTCTATCTCCATTAATGGGCTTCTTCTTTGAATGGTCTCTTTTTCTTTTGCCTTTCTGGTTCTTGGAAGGTGATCCCTTTCAGACGAAAAGCTTGACTTTAGAGAGATAGAGAGAGAGAGAGAGATGGAGAAAATGAATGGTGATTGAAGTAGGATCTGCCTTTATAAGTCTCACCTACTTGATAGGTTGTGATTTAATTATTGTAATTTTTTAACTCTCAATTTTCTATGTTTTTTGAACCAAACATTATATATATATATATATGGGTTTCATACAATCCTTGCATCTTTCCAGACAGAAATTTGAAAAGATTTACAACACCTTAAAATATCAGTATTTAAATAAATGGAACCTTTAAACTTTTTGTATCTTGGGCATAGTTAAATAAACGACAATATCGATTTCTTTTTTGCTAATCAGTAATATTAGCTACATTATTTTTTTTGAAATAATATTATTCACCATAATCAGTATAAGTGTATAAAACTAATTATATTTTTGTTTCACTTTCGTTTTTGGTTTTACTAATTTGCCATTAAACAAAAAATCCTAATGTATCTTAGAAGAATGTATTAAATTCTTTGGTCTTATCCGAGGAGATTATGGATCTAGTCTCAAAATTTTAATTATCCACTACTTTTTTCTGAATCGTTTAAAGAGCAAAAATTATCTTTCTTTTTTTTTCGTCTGAGCAAAAATTATCTTTTACGTAAGAAAATTAGAAACCATTCATAATTACTGTATGTTTTGATCCTCTCGTATATGAAGTTGTTTTTTTAAGAGAAAAATAATCTTAAAACAAAAACTGGTCAAACTCATGTGGGAAAAGGTTCGGTTTCTCACAAGCAGCAAAGAGTTAATTTTAGTCCTTTTATTTTATGAATATTGACTTTTGTTGCAGGTTTTTGTACTGTAATGAAATAGAGCTATGATTTTCATGTTCAATAGAGATGGCGGCTATATTCCTCCAAGTGTACCCGATTTATAATCTTTTGTTTACCTATATAACATATTCGTTATTTGCGTTCAAATACGACATTCGTGACGATATAATAATTAAAATATAATTAAACAGCTTTTTAGCCGGCGAAAAAATAGTATGACTTTGATGTTTCTTGTAATTTATTTGAATTCTCTACTGAAGTCTCGCAATTGTAATATGCATAAATTCGGTATCGATCTTCGACTGGATCGAGTGGTGTACTCGATCTGACTCTCGCTCTGCATGGCGTCATTTACGTCCGTACCGATTGATCGATTGCTTCACTCGATCTTCGTCTCGATCATTCTCCTTGGATCGCCTAGTTGGCTCGATTTTTTAGTCGATCAACTCCTAGATCGACCGGCCATGCTCGATCTGCTCATCGATCTCTGGTCCTTAGCATATTTCCGAGCTCCCACGAACTGCTACATCAGCCTCAACACGTCCACGAACCTCTACGACTCCAAAGCAGCCAGAAACAACCTGAATGTGATACAAAATGCAAGGAAAATACGTATGCTGATGCAAGAATGCTCTAGGACCCTAAGTGATGCAATCTAACCTAAAACATGATACAAATGCATGAAAAGCTAACTAATGCGTATAAAAAATGTATGCAATATGCAATAACATCAACTCCTCCAAACTTACTTCTTGCTTGCCCTCAAGCAACAGAAAATAAGTAAGGAAGAGAGGTTTTAAGAAAAAAATGAGTGGGGTTTTAAACTTTTTGCAAAGGTGCCTTTCAAATGAATCAATCTCAATGTCCTAGTTAACAGTTCTAAAATGCTATGCTTACACTCATACTCCAAAGAACTTAGCCATACTCATCACACAAAGAAATTCAAATCATGACTCTCCTATTCCTAACAATCAAAGAAACTCATCCTTTAATATTCATTAACATTCGAACCATGAATCAAACTTATGCACTTTAAAGCAAAACACATTTGGCTAAGGGTTAAGGTTATGAGCATAGAATGATCTCATTTGAAAAGGGTTTATAATTAGAACAAGGGTTTCTCTCAAAAATGGATGAACTTGTGCATAATGCTAAAGGTAAAGACAATTTATGCATACATGATTAGATTCTCATCTACCCATGTAAACTATCAAATGAGATCCTATACCCCTCTCATTTAAGAAATTTTATCCTCACTCACCACTTAAGAGTCTACCCTTTTTCTTTACAACTTGTTTCTAAGTATTTCATTCTAACCCAGAAATTAGAGCTAATTTTTAATCTGAATGTGACTCTAATCATCTCTCCCAAATCTGAATCATAATAAGATTCGGTTTGAAATCTCCCAATTATTAAAAATCACTCCACCAATATTGTTCTTTAACACCAAAAAACATCTTTTTATTATTACAGAAAGGGAAAACATACTGCCTCTTGTATATTTTGCTTTTTTTTTTTAAATAAACGATGTATATTTGCATGCATCCCAAACGTTGTTCTCGTGTTTGCTATATGATTAAAATCAAATGGAGTTTTCCGTTTAATATAAACAGAAATGAGTATGCATAAGTCGCGGTCATGGTCTATTATACGAAATGAACTTTAGATATTATTTTATCAAATAAAACGCCAAACGTCAACGTCCTAACGGTTGTACACGGCTTACAATTTTTGACTTTGGTATTACACTTCACCTGTATACACATGTAACATGTTGATTAATTAGAGATGTTTGTATTTAAACAAATACTAAAGCTGTCTTGGCTAGGCCTTTAAAACATGTCATTTGCAATTTGGACATTTCGAAACGTACGATATCAACATGGCTTTTAATAAACACACGGAAACAGCAAGACGCAATAGGTACAGGTACATATTTAAGGGCTAATTTGGTAAATATCAATACTAAAATTGTAAGGATTTACAATATTTAAGGGCTAATTTGGCAAATATCAATATATATAGCGTAATGTTTTGGAAAGTTAAGTCTATAAGGTAAAAAAAAAATCAATTAGTCTCATATCCAAGAGAAAAAAATTAAAATCCCAAAAAGCAAGGAAAAATTCTAATCAAAACCCTGAAAAAATGGGCTAAAGAATTTAGTCAGAACGGTGAGGAACGGGGAACACGGTGAACTTCATGTTGTGGTTGCTACAATAATCACCATCATGCTCCCCCGAAGCAAAGAAGTAAGGCTGTATTTTCTTTAGTGTAATATTGAAGCTCTCCTCGGTTCCTTTATTCGTTAAACCAATCTTCTTCCCATTCTTAATGTCGCAGTTCACGTAACTCCACGGGTCTTGGAACAGATAAACATTATTCCTTCGCTTGGCATGTTTGTCGTACTTGAAAACTGCACCATATCAAACAAAAATATATTCATTTAAGACCAATCAAAATCTAATTAACATATGGTATAAAACTGCACCATATATGTTTATAGTATCTTTAACCAAATCAGTTTACTTACCAAGAACATCATCTATATAGAAAGGAGCATTCTTAGAAGCCCACTCTTTGTAATCCAACCCTTTTCTCCATCCCTCGGATCCTCCCACTACAATCTTTCTTGGCGCTTCACTGTCTGAAACCGAGCCCGAACTTGAATCGGAACTGCTTGAATCGTTATGGTTTGAACCCCAACTCCAACTCCAGCCTGACCTAGGATTCCACTTCCAATCCCAACTTGACCCATCAGGGTTAGTACCCGAACCCGAACTCGAGCTGCTTGACCCGTCTGATCCCCATCCCCAGCCCCAGCCCCAACCAGAGCCATCAGAGTTTGAACCCGAACCCGAACCTGATCCCGAGTTGTCTGAGCCGTCGGATCCCCAACTCCAGCCCCAACCAGGACTTGAGCCCCATGGCCCCCACCTCCAACTTGAACCGTCAGAGTCTGAACCAGGACCTGAGCTAGAGCTACTTGAGCCGTCCGATCCCCAGCCCCAACCCGATCCGTTGCTCCAACTCCAGCTCCACGCCTCTGCGCCTGATGAGGAAAGACATGCAAACGCTAAGACGAGTAGGAGCAGTTTCTTTTGTGAACCAGAGAGAGCCATCGTTTTGCTTCTTCTTTCGTACGTGTTTTGATTTAGTATTTGCGTAACACTTGCCTTGTGTGAATTTTGATACTAATGTTTAGGGTGTGAGAAACGTATTATATATAGAGAAGGATAACAAACTAAATCCTAAACCAAATTGATTTGGTAAAAAGAATATTTGATTTTACAACAGTTTTCGTATTTTGGTATTATCAGTTTGGTTTTTTAATTAATCTTTTTCCCGATTAATTTTGTGTTCATTGGAGTTTTTATTTGTCGGTTAATGAAAATTAAAGTAAATTTTGTCAAATTAAAAACTTATCTTGAGGAACAGGAAACTACCCAAAGAACCGACAAGACGAACCGAATGGACCTGAAACAACAAAACTCTCAGGCCTATTAAAAAGCTGTTGATGATAAGTTACGTACGGTTCAAATTTACATCTCGCTTGCTATTTGAAGTTGGATCTAGAAGAATATGAAGTTTTAGGGTTTTTAATTATGAAATTAGCTGTTTGACAAGTTAATTTTTCTTAATACAAGACTGATTCTACGTTTTCTTTGTTCCAATTGTTGAAGCTTTGGATTTTTCGTAACTAGTTCTCGTGATTTTATGGGTTTTTGAAATTTTATGGATTTTGTCTCAAAAGTCTCCCACGGTTAACGGATCTCAACGGAAAGTCGGGAAACCAATAATAAACTTTGTCATTTCTTGTAACAAAAATACCAAACCTTGCTATTTTACCATAAAATTATGGTAATGTACATAAACAATGGTGATCTCATAATATAAAAGACATAAAGCAAAACCACAAACAATCTCAACAAAATGTGAATTATATTGGTAATCTCATTTATTAAGGACAACAACGAAATGAAAACCTAATCATTGATACTTTTACCGCTTGGATTTGGCTTTTTAATACCAAAATTACCAACGGGGGAGGATAGGCATGGCGGTGAACTTCATGGTTCCGTTGCTGCAGTGAGCACCGTCGTGCTCGCCGCATGAAATGTAGTAAGGCGTCATTTTGTTAAGAACAAACTCAAAGCCATTTCCAGCTCCTTGCTTCGGAGAAGCAATCATCCTTGCTTTTTTCACATCGCACTTCTCATAGCTCCAAGGGTCCGAAAACAAGTAGACACTGTGCGTGAACGGGGCTGGTGGGTTGTATTTGAACACTGCAATCGGATAATCATATCATTAAAATTAATAGCCAAAGTTATTGGTAGTTATGAAATGAAAAAATTGTTAATGTTATCAAAGATCACAATAACATGATTATAGCTATGAATTTGACGACCAATCAAACATGTCCGCTGCGAACATATCAGGTAGCGTATTAATAAACCTTATATGCTGCTTCCGAAACTACATAACATAGATTTATAATAAAATAAGACTCACCTAGTACGTCATTGAGAAAGAAGGGAGCAGTCTTAGAGGCCCAGTCGGAGTAGTTGACACCATAAGTCCACTCTTTGTCTCCACCGACTATGATCTTTCTAGGTGCATTGTAGGTGGCGTTATATCCTTTTGAATGACCTCCCCACCCCCTTCCCGAACCCAAGCCACCAGGTCCCGTGTTGTTTATGTTCTTAGGATCCCAACCGGAGCTCGAGCCGCCAAATCCTGGCTTTGGTGTGTTGTTAGGACTCCAGCCCCAACCCCAACCCCAACCCCAGCCTGATCCGTTATGGCTAGAGCCCCAACTCCATCCTGAGCCCGGGCTAGAACCTGAACCACTTGATTGGCCAGAGCCCCCACCCCAACCCCATCCCGAGCTCGGGCTTGAACCTGAACCACTTGAATAGTTGGAGCCACCACCCCAACCCCAGTCAAATCCTCTATTAGCCTCAGCAAATGTGGAGAATATGGAGGCAATGGTCACAAGGACCAATACAAGGCTTAGAAAACGAGAGTGAACCATCTCTTCGTCTTGGGAAATGTTAGTTATTTGATAAGTGATTGTGATGGTGGTCTTTGAAATTTTAGAGGTTGGCTATTTGTAGGAGGGATATATGTGAGTGATGGTGCCAAATTGCCAGAAATGTGAATTTTTGGTCACATTTATTTTAAATATTGAAAAAAAAATGAAGTAGGAGGATTATGGCCTTATGGGCGAACATATATTTAAAATGACTTAAAAAGTAAGACACGGCCGTAAATGTTTGAATCATAGCAATAATAAACTAAAATAAAAAAGGGAATGATAGCGAGAAACCAATGGTGTGTATTAAGATTACGAATTCTAGAAGATTTTGTGGTTATTTTAAAATCGGGAATGGTAGTGAGGAATAGGGGGGTGCATTCGATCTATTTGCGAAGATTTATAATGATTTGAATTTTAATAAGTATTTAGATAATTTTTTATGAATTAGAGATAATTTAATATTAAAATTTCTTAAAATTCTAGCTGAAATAATGAGATTTGGTTTTTTATATTTTTAATTAATAAACTCTACTAATGTCGTTTAAAATTACTCAAAATTTTATTAAATCCACTGACAATGAATTTTGATTCAGTTTTTATAAATATGAAATGATAGAGTCAGCCAAATGAGACGATAGATTGAATACACCCCAAATACATGTTTAGTGGAAGAACGTTGACTAGTAGGAAAAAACTCCTCACTGAATTAAGTGCGACTTGAACGAATTAACGTTGACGATTCCAAACATAAATGGCATTATATCTTGTATTTATCTTCCTAATAACGTTTGAGTGACGATATGATGATATTACGTAGAGCTAAGTGTAACTTAAATCCAACAAACCAAACCGATTGGACCGGAAGTAACAAAACTCTGAGGCCTAATAAAAGCTGTTGATTTAAGTTACGTAACCTGCAAATCTGCATTTCGCTTGCTATTTGAAGTTGGGCCTAGACGATCGAACTGAATCATTAATTTAAAATGTCTAAAAGCTATCATGATATTTACTAAATGTACCATTAGATTCACTAGAAAATTTAATTATTTCATTAAAGGTAATTTTATCATATCATTACTGTTAAAACTAAATTAAATTAAATTAACTTAGTTTGTTAACAGATAATACTAATAAATTATATCTGATACTAATAAAAATTAAATTAATTTAATTTTGAAATTATTTTAAAATCTTCCATAATATCTTAACATAATTACCACATATATATGTCATAAATAACTAATACAATTATATATATTATATTATAATCAATTTTTTTTTATAATATATTAAAAGAAAATCACCATTTTAAAATATCTAAAAACAACTATGATATTTAGTAAATATGACAATTTATAATCAATAATGAATATGTAATCATTATTTTCTGACTACATATATACATACTATAAAAAATATTATGTAAATAATTTTTTTTCTTGGTTCGTTAATGATTACTTTTTGCGAGAAATCATGAGTTTGCGAATTTGACAAACACAATTTTGTAGATTTTACGAGTTTTAAAAGTTTTAGCAAATTTTAGAAGTTTAAGCGGAAAATATATTTTTACGAGAAAATGCCTATTTGACAAGAAATGTGCTTTTGTAGATTTAGCAGAAACACTTGATTTTAGAAATCTGGTCGCAAATCACGATTTTGCAGATTTAGAGAAATTACAAGAAAAAACGGGTTTGCAAAATGCAAATAACGCAATTTTGCGGATTTTATGGGTTTTACAGATTTTAGCGGGAATATGTAGTCATTTGGGAAAATGAGGATTTGTGCGTTTGGAAATTCGATTTTGTAGTTTTGGCAGAAACATATGAGTTTAGAAATTTGGTCGTACAATACGATTTTATGGATTTTACAATTTTACAGAAAACACGGGTTTGTGAATTTGACGGGAAACATGATTTTGCGAGGTTTACGTGTTTTAGCGGGTTTTAAAGGTTTTGATGGAATATGTAGTTTTATGGATTTTACAGTTTACAGTTTTGGCAGAAAAATATGGTTTGATGGAAAATACTATTTTTACAGTTTCTACGGAAATTCCCGATTTTGGTACAACAACGTGATTTTACGATTTTGCGGGAAAATGCGGCTTTTTATTTTGATAGAAAACTCTAATTTTATGGTTTTGGCCAAAAAAAACTTGATTTTGTGGTTTAAATTAAATAGTGTTTTGATCTTTTAATTTTTGATATTCAAATGCTGCATCTAAACTCTATTTTTTAGTATTTTAAATATACAAATTTTGAGATATTATAGATTTTGTATCGAGTTACAATATCTATATAGTGATTTAAAAAATATTATTTTTAAAAACAATATTTGAGTATTTGCATCCAAATAAGTATAGGGATGCAAACAAACAAAGCCTAAGTTAATATTGAAATCTTAACTACAAACAAATGAAATCTCTCTTGCATTATAGTACATAATATTTTAAAATAGTTGTTACAAAACTTAACAGAAAATTTCCTAATCAAAATATATTTTTTTTATAAAATCAAGTCTAAATAATTTTAAGAACATAAAACCAAAAATGTAAAAATAGTTTATATAATCAAACAAAAATTTCAGTTTATGCCACAATTTTGGATTTAATAGTATAAGTTAATTTTTTTAATCAAAAGTTTAATAAAAACTGATTTTTGCTAGAGTCCAAAAATATTTTATAAAAAGAAATCCGCGCAAGTGCGTGGATCCAAACTCTACTTAACTATGAAAATCGCTGTTTGACAAGTTTGTTTTTCTTACTATGCAAGATTGATTGTACGTTTTCTTTGTTCTAGTAACAAGTTCTCAATACATTTGTTGTACGTACCCTAGAGCGTTAGTGTCTTTGAAATTTTGTGGGCTGTGTCTCAAAAGTCGCGAAACAAACCAAATACTCCATCTGTTTCATAATAAGTGTCATTTGGTGAAAATGTATCTGCAATGTATCTGAATATATTAAACTGAAAACACATCCAGATACATCCAGTTACAATGAAGATACATTTTCTCCAAATGACACTTATTATGAAATGGAGAGAGTAATAAACTTTGTCGTTTTCATATAAAAATACCAACCATTGCCAATTTACCATAAAGTTACGCTAAATAGAAACAATGGAGATCTCATAATATAAAAGACATAAAGCAAAACCACAAACAATCTAAACAAAATGTGAATTATATTGCAATACTCATAGATAATGGTAATCTCATTTATTGACGATAGCAAAAAGAAAACCTAATCTTTGATACTTTTAACTTCTGGATTTGGCGTTTTAATACCAAATTAGAATCTAACCTGCATGTTGGCGCGCATATAATTTTTTAAAAATTTAATTTTAGAAAATATTGGTTTTGTAAATACAATTTTAAAATGTGATTTTATCGTTCTACAACATTTTACTCAAAATAGTTAATTTAAAATAATGTTAAAATGTTATAAAATATGTATATGAAAAAACATATCCATTCTTACGTAAATACATGCTTGGTACAATTCTATATATTAACCAACACTCTTACATATTAAGCATGTGTTTACGTTTGCGCTGAGTAAATATTTGTAAAATTAAAATTTATGTTTTAAATATTATTTTTGGATTTCAACTATTAGAGTTTAAAGTTTGAATGGTTAATTGTATATTTTTTATTAATCGTACTCATGTTTTTTAGTCAAAAAAATATATAATAAAAACGTGTTTAACTTTTAATAAGAAGATAATATATTAATATTTTTTCTTTGTCTTTATCTTCTTCATTATTATTCTTTTTTTTAGTTCTTCTTCTTATTTTTCTAAGGTTTTTTTGTTCTTATTCTTTTTCTCTTCTTCGGGCTTGATTGATTGATGCTATAGCTTTAAATTTTGTCTGTATAATTTATGCTGTAAGTTTTTTTTCTGTAACTTTAGATTTGTTGCTGTAGAATATATTATATTAAAATATTTTTTTATAAATATATAAAGTATAAAAACAGAAATAAAATATATAAGTATCATAAATAGAAAGAAAAAATAATAATTAATGAATCATATGGAAGGAAGAGAAAAAGTCAAACTAAATCTCTTAAAATTGGGCTGTAGAAATTTTGCTGTCCACATCACTTAAAAAAGATAATTGCTGTAGATGCTGTGATTTTTGTTAAAGAAAATAAAGCATGATTGGCTAAATATCTGAGCTTTACAAATTTTTTTGCTGTGTACAGCATCTACAACAAGTACCAATCATCCCCTTCATCTTCTTCTTATTTTTCTTCATTTTTCTTTTAAGCTTTTCTTCTACATTATTGTTCTCCTTTCTTCTTCTTTTCTTATTTTTATTTGATTTTTTTTTTCTGTTTTTTTCTGTTTTTTCATTTATCTTCTCTGTAACAGGAAGAAATCGATCAGGGTATATGAATTTAATTTTCTTGGTACATAAACAGTAGTTGAGGAAGTCCAATCACAGAAAAAGAAACATAATAGATATTGACATACAGCTCCGACCTTAACATAATTTAGGTCCCTTGGGCAAAATGAAATTTAGACCCTAAAAATATTTTTATTTTTATTTTTGGCATTTTTATATAATTTTTGATAAATTTCTAATTAAAAACAAAAAAAATAAGATAGTTCTAAATTTTTAAACAAAAGCGGGTCTTTTAATGAGAAGGAAAACAAAATATTGGGCCTTTAGTGAGAAGAATAACAAAAAATTAGGCATTTAATGATTTAATGAAAAGAATAGATTTAATATTTATATATCTAATGAAAGTCTAATGACACATTAAGTAAATAACACAGTAACTAAATGTTATTCTTCTAAATTGGATTCTCTTTTAATATAATAGATTACCAATGGGGGAGGATAAGCTTCTTTTTATAGCTCCTAGGGTCCGAAAACAAATAGACATTGTGTTACTTGAACACTGCATTAGGATGATCATATCATTAATATTAATGGCCAAAATTGTTGATAGTTAATGAATGTCAAAATTCTAAATATATTATTAAAAATCTCAATAACAGAT